GAAACCATGGGCCACACAGGCCAGGAAAGCAAACAGGCCAGGGAAGCAGGTATGTGATATTCTGATCTTCACTCTCCCTCCTTTGCTGCAAATCCAATCCTCCAGACTCATCCACAGTTCTGTAGACTATCAGTTGTGGATGCTCCTCTCTCTTGACCCCCAATTCCAGGAGACTAGCAGATCCTAGTGGCACAACTGCTTTCCTCTCTCCTGGGGACCTCCTCTGCTCCTGCCCCCAACCCTATCTCTCATGGTAAGCCCTCTTTCTAGTACTAAAAAACACATTCTAATTGAAATCCTGCCCCCACCCCCAAGGGACCACAGCTTTCAGGATCTCAGAAACATTCTCTAGCAGACAATCCATAGCCACCACATTGTCCTGAGAACCAGAAAGGGCAACAGGAATTAAGGAACAAAATACCCACCCAACAAAGACAAGAACAGATATCAGTACCTTGAATTACAATCACCCCACACCCAGATGCTTAGATACCAGCATTAAAAACAAACAAATAAACAAAATAAACAAGCCACAGTCAATAACAGCAAGTACAATGTCTCCACTAGAGCCCAGCAGCCCTACTATAATAGGCCCTGAGAAATGCAATACAGCTGAAGCACAGAAAATAGACTTTATGACTATGTTAGAAGTCTTTAAGGAGGGAATGAACAAATCCACTGAAGAAAAATATGAACACACACACAGAAAAAAATTGGAATGAAATGAAGAAAACAGTAGAACATTAATTTGAGGGTGATAATACCAGCACTACTTCTCCAATGAAGGTGTCAGTGAGGCAAATAGTAAAGTTAGTCAGTACCTCATGTCTTCAGGCATTAATGTAGGTATTGTTGGAGCTCAGGTGGCAGAATGAGTAATGCCCAAGGACAGGTACAACAAGGAGGAGGTCACTACAATGATGATGATCTTCAAAAGAAGGGAGATGGTGCTGCATCTTCTTGTTTCTAATCACTGCCTGCCTAATCCTGAAAGGGCATCTACCAGTCCACCATTGTACATGTGCATTTAGTCCTACATTTAGCCAATGGTCCCATAAGGTCTATTTGGATAATATGGTTAAATGTATCTATCTTATAATGTGTGGCCTTGCCAATATTGCTGTATCTACTTGGCTTTTCTGAGGATTCCTCAGAACCTTTAATAGCATTCTTAATAACAGGATGCTTGAATATTGCATTTATCCAAATAATGTTTTTAGGCCACGTGTTCCCGACAGTCCCATTTTCTGATGTAGTAGCAATGGCTACTCATAAATGAACATTTCTAGCTTAATGTCAGGTGATATTTGCCTCCATGCATCATTTTCCCTTTTGAATCTAGTTCTTGGTGTTTGTTCCTGTTTAATCCTATATCTGGTTGCATTGTTCTTAGATAGTTGATCAACAGTATTATTATATCTGACTTCCTGTGTATCATTGCTGGTGTGTGCATCTACAGGCCTCACAGTTATTCTGATATCAGACTTTGCTATAAAAATCCAGACAGCTTTAGACCAAAGGTCTTTTCTATTTATTGTAAAATTTGTCTTTATTTGCATTCTTTTAGACCAGATTGCAATACCATTTGCTAAGGCCAAGAGTCAATAAATACGTATATAATCTTGTGGCCTTCTTTTAAAGTTTTCTGCCTAGCCAGCCTCTCTGCTTGGGTTTCTGCATGCCAAGCAGACTTGGACGTGTCGTCCTTTGTGATGATCCATTATCAGAATGTCTGAGAGTGGCTGACTTTGAGACAAGCATAGCATTTGTCACTGAGGCATATGGCTTAGGGTAAAGCTACAGGATGGTTCAAGTCAGAGATCCATGAAGAAATGGTTCATAATAGCCAAATGGCCTGCGAGGTGGCCCATGGAAAGTGCTAACATGAAGTTATGGATATTATTGGAAATGAAAAGAGTGTTTGAAGAGAGCATGGCCATCTGTGAAGCAGGCATTTAGGTTTGAGCTTTAAGGGCCCCTGAGATCCTCTAGGAGTGGAATGAGCCTCCTTTGCCTCCATCTCTGGTGGAGAGACTCGATGGCTGCCCGTTCTTTAGTCAGGTCCATCTGGATGCACCATTTTCAACTTAATAGCTTTGGTTCCATATGTACTCCATGGAGTGCTTCTCCAGTCATTCTGACTCAAGGTAACAGGATTATATGGAATCCAACAGTTATCCATTGGTCTAGTAACAGTGGGTTGAGATTTTTCAACACCTCAAACAAGATCAAAGCTGCTCATCAAGGCTGAAGGCTTCTGGCCTCAAGACCACAATTTATACAGAATAACATGGAAGTAGCAGTCTGCCAGGAATAGTTATATAACAGATTGTATTACTATTTACTTTTGGTTCCTTAGACTGCTGTGTCAGCCATATTGTGAATATCCATAGATCCCTCAGTGTTTAGCCTTAGCCGTCTTGGCCCATGCTGGGTAGCCATACTGGCATCATGTTATGTAGACATGAACTGGCCATTATGGCCTTATATTCCCTGCAATTTGTTGTAGTTTTTTTTTTTTTAATATTTCTCTTTTTTTGAGTGCAAAAGTACTTTTTATTTAAACTAATTATTTTTCTTTTTTTTGTTAGGATGAGGTGTTTAATTTTTTTTCATATTTTTTTACACTTTATTCATAATTTGTAGTAGTTTTAAGAGACCTGTATTCAGAGTCACTGTCAGTTTAGACTGAAAGAAACAGCCAGCGTAACATGAGAAGAAGCCAAGAGACTCCCACTGTATTGCTTACTTCAGGCAGTCAGCTGAGAAAATGACTTAGCTGTAAATACCAGCAATTAAAAAAATATGTTTTCTACATTTATGGGCATGCACATGTGTGAGTGTGCATGTGTGTATGTGTGCATGTGTTGTTATAAAGAAAGAAAATGACAATTATTCAATTTTGCCAATGAAGATTCAGTAGCCAGATGCTTGGGTGAAAACTTGCTAACTCAGAGAGGCAGAGAAAGCACCCAGCTGACCTTCCTACACAGCTGATTTCCCAGTAGGAAAAAGTTCTTTCTATTCAGCTCATGTCCCAGAAAAAAAAAGGCCTTCCTACTCAGCTCACATCCCAGAAGGAAAAAACCAAAAGCCCTTTCTCCTGCTCTACACTGTCTTAAAAACCCTTCAACTAAATGCCCCTCCTTTCTGTTTCCTATTCAACTCTCTATCCATACTCTGGACACCCCCCCCCCTTCCTCCATGTTTACTTCCTGTCAGTCTGGTTGTTTGCTCTACCTCTTGACGTAGGGTTAACTTTATTTAAACCTCTTTACAGAAAGCTCTTGGATTAAGAGCTAGTGTTAGGGCTGAGCCATACCACAAATACTTACTTACAGTAAACAGAAAACTCTAGGATCAAAGACTGAGCCACACCACAATTAGAAACAGGTTTTTACAGTTCACAATTGGGGTTCACAGTGGGATCAAATATCTTGAAATGTGTGTATGCATCCCATAGCATGTGTACGGAGATCAGGGGACAACTTGTGGGAATTGGTTTTCTTCTAGTATTTATGTCCTGGGGATCAAATTTAGGTTATCAGTCTTGGTGGGAGGGACCTTTACTCATAGAGCCTTCTTGCCAGTCCTGCTGTTACCTTTTAATGGGTGTGCCTCATAGATAGAATCAGGCAGAAATTATCTTGGAGGACTTCCAAAATTGACTGTCTACTCTAAAAGACCCATCTCAGCAATGCGGCAAAAGTCTTGGTGGACAATTTCTGAACTCAGATCTATCTTGTTTCCACTGAACTATTTCTATGCTTGGAAAACTGTCTGTAAAGATGACCAGGAAAACACCTATTGAAAGGGTCAGACTAACTTTGTAACCTATATGTCTTCTAAAGCCTATAGTTTTGGGTTTTAGGTCCAGGTTAAGCTAAAGCCTCTTAGTACCTTTCCAGAGAATGGAGGAATGTGACCCTGGCCATCTGTGAGGACAGATTTAAAAAAATCGAGCAAGCAATGACCTTCACTCAGCAAAAAGAACAACCAGACCCTTGTCTTCGAGATATGTTTCTTAGCACCAACCTAGATGGCCTCAATCCTTCTTCTGAGTAGTTCCTGACGTCCAGCCAGAAGCCCACAGCCCTGATCTTCAAGGATGAGCTAACCACCCCCACCTTTTAATGGCAGCCGCATCCACACTTGGCAGGACTGGCCAAGATTAAGCACCTAAGACTAACCAATTATCTTACTTTATAGCTTCCTCATCCAATCTTAAATTGCCAAAACTGCAACTTCAAATTTCCCACACTTTATCTTTTAAAAACCCAAGGCCTTTGTCTCCCGGTTGCCACGCTTTGCTGACTGGCAGGGGTGACCCATTGCACAACGGTTAAAATAAACCTTGTTTTTGCATCAAGTTGTGGTCTGTGGGAGTTCCTGAGAAGGGCGCGATCTTTTTTTTTTTTTTTCTATTTTTTTATTTTTTTTTTCATTTTATTTTTTTCTTATCAGTTACATTTTATTAACTCTGTATCCCAGCTGTATCCCGCTCCCTCATTCCCTCCCAATCCCACCCTCCCTCCCTCATCTCCACCCTGCCCCTTTCCAAGTCCACTGAAGGGCACGATCTTGAACTCCTGAGCTGCGAGACCCCAGGTCTTACACTATGACAATTCTTTTCTAGTGTTAAAAATCCTAATTTAGACATAGATGTTTTAAATATTGCTGATATCCCAGTGTTTTCAGTTCTCTTTGGGTTGAGATAACTTGCTCATATTGAGAATGTA